TATATCCTCTGTCTCATCTTCAGGGAGAGTTCAGTGACAGTAAACATGACTCTAGTTTATGTGAGGTTAGCATCATACTGTAAATGGTCCTCGTGTTGTGATAAAACCATCCTGTCATTATGGTACTAGTCTCCATGGCAACCCCACCGTCATCACTCTCTCTCTCCTAGTAATTATGTGTCTGGTCAAATCTGTTTCCTCTCATCCCCTTGGGTCTGAGCTAAACGAATAAACACACGCGCGCGCATGCACACACACACGTACTCCTGCACACACAATAAAATGAAGAATGTGAAGTTACAACACTGTGCAGCTCATTTCACACAACCACTAAAATAAACACAGGCGAGCTCTGTGAGAGAGCCAATTATCTCTTTGCATTCTCTGATTATTTATTGTGCCTTATTTTTATTAATAATAGATTTTAAATTATGACTTTTTCTTTAAAAAAAATAAATAAATAAAACTCTGTTTGTAGTTCAAAAACACTCAATGGATCTGTTTACACATTGGATAAATCATATTTTATCCAACATGAAAACCCTGTACGAGATGATTGGTCCTCCTGTGATGATCAGTGAGCAGCGGTGTGCTTTCATGCTTAGAAAAAGCACCGTAGATGTAATTTTTGCTTTGGAAGATGAGATGTTGATGGAGAAGAACAGAAACAGTTGCTCTGTGTCTTTGTGGATCTAGAGCTAGGGTACCAGGGGAGAAATCGTTGTGCTCTATGAGAAAGTTAGGTGAGACTGGGGTATGACATGTATAAGGACAAGTGTATATTAGGAGTGACAGATGGGTTCAAAGTGGGAATGTGATTACATTGGGGATCTAAGCTCCTTCTTGTTTGCAACAGTGATGGACAGGTTGACAGATGATGTCGGGCAGAAGTCTCTGTAGACTCTGATGTTTGCAGATGACATTATGATCTCTAGTGAGAGTAGGGAGGAGAGTCTGGAGACCAGATTGGACAACATTAGAAATGAGCACATCAGAGAGACCGCTCAGTTTGAAGACAAAGTTAGAGAGAAAAGGCTGTGTGCAGAGAAAGGACAGTGGATATAGTGCAAAAAGGGTGTTGTATATTGAGCTGCCAGGTAGAAAGAAAAGAGGAAGACCACAGAGAAGATTCATGGATGTAGTGAAAAGGACATTTCCGAGAATGGGTGTGACAGAAGAGGATGCTAGGGATAGGTTGAGATGGAGGCAAATGGTCCTCTACGGCAAACCCTAAAGGTAGCAGCTGAAAGAAGCAGATGATACAGCTTCACAAAAAGTGATAAATGCTCTCAGTACTCAGCTTTTAGAGGCAATTTATGCACCTTAAAATAAATAAATTAATTACAAAAATAGTCAAAGGAAATCCTAGGTTAAGTACAGTTGCTGAATGGAGGCATTTATTACAGCATGACACACTAAAAGGCCCCAACTGACAGAGAGGAGGATGCACATGCACAGTCAGCCTCACCAAGTCATTTGTCTGGAGGCATTGGCTAATACGAACATGCTGCCAAGCAAGCTAAAGAGGCACTTAGAAAGTAAACATCACTTCTGAGAAAAACCCTGGCTACTCAAAAAGAGTGCTGGCTCTGACTCAAGCATCCTCCAAAGCTTAAACATCAGATACTCCAAGACCCAAGTACTGATCAGCCACAACAACCTGCTGGCCTAAGATCATGTAGGCACCAAAAGTGCTCAATGAAACCTAAAGGTTCCCAGTTTAAACTTGTAGCAAGACGATCAGTGTTACATCTTCTGGTGTATTTCCAGATGAGTAAAGGTTCTAGACAACTTTCAGTTATTTTGATATATATGCTTACAATCTGAGCAACGCTTCTGATTTTGAGTCTACCATATCTGCAACCAGTCAGTCTCAAAATAATTTAGCAATTGTTTACTTCTTAAAATCTGCATAGAGCAAAATCTGTCTACTAGCTGGTAAGTTAAGCTTAAGCAGACCGTTTAACTTTAACAATAACAACGCCAACAACAATAACGGTGGTTAACACTGTTGCCTCACAGCATAAAGGTCAAGAGTTCAATTCCATCATCATGGAATGACAACAACAACAGGCAAACGTGAAAAATGCTGTGATGGATTAATTTGATCATGTCTCTACAGGGTGGTCATTATG